TGGTGTAGAAAATTATTGCAATTTACAAGTAACCCATGTAGGATTATTTGTAAAATTTAAATGAAATTTAAATAATTCAAAAAAAAATCCGGGTTTATTACAAGATAGAAACCGGTTCAATAGCCGTAAAAAAATACAACAGAGATCCGTTTGATTTAGTTATTAAGTAGTAAGAGAGTTGACTAGGAAATAAAAAACAAAACCCCTGTCTATAACAAGAAAAAAATCCGGTTCACAATAAGAAAAAACCTGGTTCTATAAACGAATAATCGGTTTTGTTGGTGTAAAAATGAGGTTGATTTAATGATTAAGTAGTAGAGGAATTGAATATTAAAATAAAAAAATAAAAAAACGGTTCACAATAAGAAAAAAACGGTTTCATAACCGAATAATCGGTTTTGTTGGTGTAATTATAGCAATTTACAAATAACCCTTGTAAGATTATTTGTGAAATTTGAAAAATTCAAAAAAATTAATTAAAAAAATAAAAATCAAAAAACCCGGTTCACAATAAGAAAAAACCCCGGTTCTATAAACGAATAATCGGTTTTGTTGGTGTAGAAAATTATAGCAATTTACAAATAACCCATGTAAGATTATTTGTGGAAATTTAAATGAAATTTAAATAATTCAAAACAAAATCCGTGTTTATTAGGAAATAGAAACCGGTTCAATAGCCCAAAAAAATACAACAAAAATGCGTTTCATTTAGTAATTATATAGTAAGAGAGTTGACTAGGAAATAAAAAACAAAACCGCTTTTCATAACAAGAAAAAAATCCGGTTCACAATAAGAAAAAGACCGGTTCTATAAACGAATAATCGGTTTTGTTGGTGTAAAAATGAGGTTGATTTAATGTTTAAGTAGTGGAGGAGTTGAATATTAAAATAAAAATCAAAAAACCCGGTTCATAGTAAGAAAAAACCCCGATTCCAGAACCGAATAATCGGTTTTGTTGGTGTAAAAAAATTATAGCAATTTACAAATAACACATGTAGGATTTTTTGTAAAATTTAAATAAAACTTAAATTATTCAAAATAAAAAAACCTGGTTCAATAACCGAATAATCGGTTTTGAGGTGTAAAATATATGACAGAGCTACAATACAACTCCTATTATACGCGAATTATCAAATATTAGAAAAGGGATCGAATTGACATAATTTCTGAGTTGTACAGGAGGTAATTATTGTGAAGTAAAAATAATAAAAAACCGGGTTAATTGCAAGAAACAGTGGGGTTTAAATAATCGATTTTTACAAGTTCTATCGATTATCAAGTTTTAAAATTACAGAAAAGTTTATTATAAAATTAAAAAAAAAAAAAATCAATATTAAAAAACCCGGTTCATAGTAAAAAGCCGGTTCAAAAACCGAATAATAATTTTTGTAGATGTAAAAGCACAAGCAGATACCAAGTGACATAATTTTACGAGATTTTATTGTGAAATAAAAATTATAAAGAGCAAAACGAGCCGCCTACCTCATAACCGATTAATCGGGATTTTTGGAGTAAACTTTTAGACCGGATATAAAAGTGAGACAATTTGAAAATAGGAGGGAAGTTCATTATTAAATAAATAGAATCCGAAGATAAAAAATAATAGAAACCCGGTTCAAAAAACCGAATAACCGGTTACATAAAACCCGAATAACCGGTTACAGAAAAACCTTATAACCGACTAAAAACAAATATAGAAAAAATCCTAAATAATTTTAAGAACCGAACGAACTAAAAATAATTTTTGGCCTTCTGTAAGAAGATCTGCATTCATTTGTGAAGATCTTTAGGCTTTATATGAGTGACATTCAGGCTTTCAATAAGATAAACTTATGGTAATTTACCCTTCGGCCTTCTGGCCTTCTTCTTTTGACGTTCTGGTCTGGCCTCCTGACCTGCTATTAGCGAAACTGCTTGTCTTTTATGAGAATGCCATCTGGGCTTTCTCTGAAGTACCTTCAGACCTTATATATGAGTTTATAGTCCTCTATAAGAAACCCTCCTGGCCTTAAATATAAATACCGACTTCACAGTTTCATTCAAAACCTCTAAAGGCTTTCTTTAAAGTCCTTCTGGTCTTCCAAAAGATGGTCTCTTGACCTTCTATTAGAGGAACTGCTTGCCTTTTAATAGAAGGTCATCTGGGCTTTCTCAGAAGTAACTTCAGACCTTATATAGTAAGTAAATCTGCCTTTCTATTAAAAATTTTTTAGTTAATCTAAAAAATATATCTTCTAAACTCCTCTAAGAAGATCGTCAAGCCTTCTATGATAAAACTTTATGACTTCTATAGAGGTTATAGTCTTCTATAAGAAGACTCTCTGACCTTTTATAAAAATACCAACTTCCTATTTTATTATATAACAAGATCTTCGGGATTTATATTAAACCTCCTAGTTAATTAACGGAATACCTACTAGTCTTCTATTTGCAGAACTCCTTACATTAAAAGACGATCTTACCTTCTTTAGAGGCAACTTTCGATATTACGGCCTTCTAAAAGACGGCCATCTAACCTTTATATGAAAAATACCTCCTGCCTTTTTATTTATAAAATGTCATTATGTCCTTTTATAAGAGAACCCCCTGAACTTTTATGAGAAAACCCTCGATTATCGTCTATGAGGATGTATATTTATTGGAGGTTCTCCTTGTCTTTTATGAGTAGACCTCCTTCTTGATATTCTAGAAGACAACACCATAGCCTTATAAAATACCTTTAGGTTTCCTATGGCAATATCGTCTGCTAGTTACTAGGAAGATCTCCTCCTGGTCCACAAAAGTAACTTTTTAGCCTTCTTTGGGAATACCATTTAATTGTCTATGGGAAGGCCCACTCGTCATATATGATGATGTCCTCCTGCCCTCCTTCCATTAAAGTACGAAAAACAACTTTGTAGTACGATAAAGTAACAACATATGTAACTTCCGATTTATAATAAGGAAACCCCGGTTTTAAAAAACCGGATAACCGGTTCTCAAAAACCGAATAACCGGTTCTGAAAAACCGAATAACCGGTTCCATTTTTTTTGTAATTTTTCACTTATAAAAATGTTTTCTTTTGCAAATTTCACATTTTTAATTTAAAAAGAGAAAACTATCTTTTTTAGCCGATATTTCACAAAACCGCTTAAAATCCCCTTTAGATTTTCATCAAATGAAAACCATCGTATGTATCAGCGAATACCAACCCAATGTGTCTTGAACAATGAATATGTATGTCGGGATGGATGCATGGATGAATGCAACAAGTAGGAAAACAAACACACAAACACCATCCAGCCAACGTCAAAAAGTCAACTCAGCAGCCTGGCTGCCAGCTAAATATCCAGTGAGCTCGCAATCCAGCCAGCCAGCCATCCAGCGAGATCCATCCAGCCAACAACATAAAAGACAAATAGTAACATTACAACAACAACGACGACGAACTGCAAACAAACAAACCTACCGAACAGAAAAAAGACTCGAAACCGAACTGAAAAGAAGAAGAAGAAGAAAAAAACCCTTGCAGCGACCAAAGAAGATGAGCCAAGTTCTAAAAATATCATCAAAGGAAGAAGAAGAAGAATGGGTGCCAGGCTAAAAGAAGACAGGCTTGGATGTTGAACGTCGACTCACTGTTGCGGCAGAGACTGCTGTTGGGTTTTTTGGGCTAGAAAAAAATTGTTCTTTTTTTCCTGTGTGTTCCCTAATCTTATTGTTGTTGCGGCTGGCTGGCGGTTCGCCTGGTTCGTTGGTGGGGGGCAATCATGGTTTATTTGTTTGGTATGGTGGTATGGATCATCGACTTGCTTTGGTATGGGTTTGATTTTGTTGGTGGTTCTTTCATTTCATTGTTGTTGTTGCTGGTAGTTGTTTTCTTTCTTTTTATATCTCCCCCCCCCCCCCCTTCCGCACCTCACTGTGTGTGTGAGTGTCTGTGTGTGGGACCCTCATGTTGACTTAGAGTAGTTGTTATGTACAAAACCTGGTTGCTGTTGGTGTTATATACACACGTTCTTTCACACACACATTTCTTTCTTTTGTTAGCCATCCCAATACCCAAGACTTCTTAGCCTTCTTCTTGTTCTGCTTGCTTACCAAAATTGCTAGCTAGGTGGCGACTAGCTGGTGGTGTGTAGGAATGTTTATTGTGGCACATCTTTCTTTAACACGATTGCTGTTGCTGCTCTGCCGTTGTCGTTGCCGCCTCTGCTGCTGCTGCTGCTGAACACTACCATTTTTTGTTAGTTCTTTGTGTGTGTGTGTGTATGTGTGCGTTTAAGCCTTGTTCTTTTCATTTGCTGCTTGTTTTTTTACTTTTTCTTGTTTATCTGTTATTACTCATTTTCTTTCTCTGCGCTGCATGAAGGTATCAGTCTTTATTTTTTTGGCTAAGAATTCCTTTTAAGCTTACAGCATATCCCAAATTCAGGCATTCGCGATCGAGAATTTGAAACGGCAACAAGTCGCGCTTCTTCTTCTTCTGCTGCTACTTTTAGCCACGAAAATCAAAGGAAATACCAAATAAGAAATCAATTTTATTCAACAACAATAAAAAATAAAGAACATCAGCAACAACAACAACCACAACTACAAATAGAAAATAATACCCCCGGAGTCATATACAAATAGCCACATTATATACTACATACCTATTTTTTTTTTGTTGTATATATAAAAACAGTGAACAAACAGTGTGTGTGTGTGTGAGCCCCCAAGGAGACTAAGACTGTGTGTGTTGTCGTGAATAAAAAAGTTGAGCACTTTTAAGCCTTGCTTTCTGTGTGTGTGTGTGTTGTGTTTGCGTGTGTATCTGTCTGTGTGTGCAGCTCGCGCCTAGAAGTAGAGTCGGCCGTTACCAAAGTTTGTTAACTTAACGACCAACGCTTGTCAGTTTAAATCGAGACGCCGTTAGTAAAACACCGTGAACATCTCCCCCAACGAATCTTCAACGGATTTCTGTGAAGTTCTAAATTTTATATAAAAAAATTAAATAAAAAATCACACACACTCAACATGAATAAATTACTAATTTGTTTATTAAGTTTAGCGGTGCTATCTACAGGTGAGTAGGTGTAGTTTAAAAATGTGCACTAATTTCAAATGATGGTGAAAGAGAATTTTAAAAAAATGTGGCAAAAATAAAAAATTAAAAAAAAAATAAAAAATCTAAAATAAATTTCAAAACTCAAAGAAATAATGAAATCGCTGGGAATTGATGCAATGAATATTGGAAGTACTGTAAAAAAAAATTATATTTTTTTTTTTTTGAAAAAAAAAATATAAAAATTTTAAAGGAATAATAATTTTGAAAATATTTGGGAATAAAAAAATTTTTGTGTTTTTAAAATAAAATATTTTTTTTAAAGGAATAAGAAAAAAATATAGAATAATAAAAAATATAGAATATAGAATTAATACTTTTTTTAATTCAAAAAAAATGTTAAAAATTTAATTTAAACAGATTTAAATAATATATCAAAAATATCCTAAATATCCAATAAACTATTTATTTTTAAAATATATAAAAATTAATGCATACAGTCGCAGAATTAAAAAATATGGCGTAAATTGAAAAAAATTTTAAAATAAATATTTAATTTCAATAATTGGGTGAAAAAGTATTTAAAATAAAAAAATACAACACTTAATTGAAAAATAAAATATATTTTATAATTTTTTCCAGCCCTCCACTTAATTAAATTTATAATTTAATTTAATTTTTGGGAATTTGATATTTAAAATTTTTAGTAAAAATTTTTAAAAATAAAAAAACATACAATTAAAAAAATATATTAAAAATATCAATTACTTTTTTTTAATTTAAAAAAAATATATATTTAAAATAGTATACCAAGAATATTAATATCCCATATCCCCATAAAAATGGGATATTAATATTCTTGGTATACTATTTTAAATATATATTTTTTGAATTAAAAAAATTAATAGATGTTCTCAATATATTTTTTTAATTGTATATTTTTTTATTTTTACAAATTTTTACTAAAAATTTAAATATCAAATTCCCAAAAATTAAATTAAATTATGAATTTAATTAAGTGGAGGGCTGGAAAAAAATTATAAAATATATATATATATATATATATATATATATATTTCTTTTCAATTAAGTTTTGTTTTTTTTATTTTAAATACTTTTTCATTTTACAATTTCCATTTTTTAATTCAAAATTTCATTTTGTAGAATGGGAAATTGAAAAAAATATTTTTAATATATTTTTTAATTATAATAATTAATTATTATCTATTAAAAAAATATTTTTAATATATTTTTTTCAATTAGGTCTTGCATTTTTTTTATTTTAAATATTTGTTCATGCTATAATTTCCATTGGTTTTTCTACTCATTTTTGTTTTAAATTTGTAAAAATAGTAAATAGTTTTTTTTTAAATAATATCTTAGAAGAATCGGTTTTTACAGTTCTGAAAAAAACTAAAAAAATTATATATTTGAAATTTAATCAAATAAAAAAAATATTTTTGTTTAGAATTATACTTTCAAATCTATTTTTTAATTCAGATTTCCTCTTAAAACCTTAAAAGTCCTTGAGTTATCACATTTTTTCTCAATTGGGAATTAATTAAAAATAAACTATATTATTTCAAAAAAATCCAAAACCACACAGAATTTTTCAATTTTCTTTAAAAAATAATTTTTTTATATTGCTTAAAGTGGATATTCCTCGAGGAACTCATTATTATTTATTTAGGCTTAAAGATTTCATAAAATCCACACAAGAGGAGAATTTAAAAAAAAATCCGTTAGTATCATTTTTTTATAGAATTCGAAATAATGAAAAATACTCAATATTAAATCCAAAGCAGAAAAAATGTGGAATAATTCCAAAAACTTCTAGAAGTCGTCTCAATTTCTTCGGTTCATCTAAAAATTCTGCATTTTTTATTAGCATGATAGAGGTATTAAGACTTTTTAAAGTTTTTTTTTTTTTTGTTGATATAATTCGAATCTACACTAATTAAAGAATGACCCTACAAAATTTCAAATGAAAATCTCAAGAACTCTTGAAGATATAGCCGATTTATTGTGTCAGCATCAAGTGACGGCTGAAAGGCTTCTCAAACTTTAAACGCGTTTTTCTCTCAACATTATTTTGCGAATGGCGGGCACGATAACTCAAAAACTAATAATCCAATCGGTTCCAAATTTTGCAACGTTTCTCTGGGAGTGTATAGCTCTCGTATGAACTAGGATAAAGCCAATCGGTGAATATCTTCCTTATTTTTTGACTTGGGTTTTGGTAATAAATCATCGATTTTCCAAAAATATTTTTTCAAAGGTCCACCATTTTGTTAATTTTAGAGCGAAGTCCTAATAATCCTAGTTCATACGAGAGCCAGACATGTACTCTTTCTAACACCGTTGGAATTTTCGGATTCCGATGTTCCAGTGAGGAGTTATCATGCCCGCCATCAAAAATAGGGACTTTTCTTTAATTACAAAAAACAACAACCAAACAAAAACAAAAAATCTTGAAAAATTAAAATCGAGAATGGGGGGGGGGGGGTTCCCTTAAGATGTTTATTCTTCTTAAGTTCTTTTAAATATTCCGCTAGGATGAGATATGCTAACCTTTAGTAAATTATATATCCTTAAACCTAATTCATCTACAGGCCTTACATAAATCATGTAAACCTTTTTGAAGATCTTCCAAAACATTCTAGAGGTTTTAATTGGTCTTCCAGAGATTTGAAGATCTTCCAAAACATTCTAGAGGTTTTGGTTGGTCTTGCAGAGATTTTATAAAAATTTAGTAACTTTCAGACTTTTTTTACTTCTTCAAGACTTTCTAGAGGTCTTCTGAGCATTCTGGAGATTATCTTGGCATTCAAGAAATGTTATAACCCTTCTGAAGGTTTTGTAGACAATCAAGACATCTTATAGATATTCTGGTCCCATAGATTCGAATGTAAGGTTAAATGATTTTCTTGGAGCCTTTCGAAGCAATTCTGTATTTCAAGTAGAGTGCTGGGCTCTTAGAAGATCTTATTTGAGTTATATAAACTTTTCAGGCTCAAGAATTCTCAAAAGACTTTATAAGAAGTCTCTTCATCATAGAATTCAATCCAAAAGTGTCTTACTTGATTTATAGTATACAAAAGACATTCAAGAAGTCGTATGTCCATACTTATAATCTGGCTTCAAATCTTCCCCACTACTGTTGACTGTCTCAATTTTAATTCAAAATGCAATATTTCATATGGCGGCTTTTTGTTTTTTGTACTTTTTCCCTTAACTTTCTACTTTCATTTTTCATATAATATGTGTGCATTATTCAAATTAATACAATGCAGTTCTAATATTTTTTTCAAAATTTATGACATTTATATGCCACTTGTAATGTTAATTGATTTGAAATGTCAAACGTGCTCAAAATATTGTTTATGTTTTTTCCCCATTCAGTAGGGTTGGCTGTTGGTTTGGGATATAATTTATATACATATATTTTTTGGACTCTTCAAAATAGTCAGACAAAAAAGAAACAAAGATATTATCCCTTTATAAATTGTTGAAATTTTTCATTATAATTTATTTTCTTTAAATAAATAAAGAATATTAAAAATAACAGAATAATATTTGAATATAGTACAATGTAAACTATGTTGTTTGTTTTTTTTCTTCTTCTTTTTTTGTCACTTTATGACGTACAAATAAATAATTTGGGGGTTTAACACTTATTTAAAATTCTATTGGCATTCCGCAATATGGAATGCTTACTTGCTTACTTCTACTGGTAAAAAGAATAATAATCAATAAAATCTATGAAAATATTTATTAATTCACAACAAAAAGTCACAAAAATGATTCTTAGAAAACCCAATAATAACAATTTTGAAGAAAAATATGGAATCTCATTACAATTTATTAAGAATTTCTTTGGTTAGATAATGATAAGAATAACCAAACAAATTTCTTTGTGGCATAAAACGAGTTGCCTAAAAGTATGCAACACTTTTTATCATGTGAGTTACAAAGGGAATTGGCCTTTATTGACATTAATCATTAATGAAAGATGATTAATGATAGATGAATAATAATCGAATTAAAGAGTAATAAATAGTAGAAAATATGTCACTGTTTTGAAAAATTTAATTTTCAGAGATTTAAAAATTATTTTCAGTTAATTAAATTAACTATTTTTTATTTATCAATAACTTTTTAGATTATTGGTAAAGGAGGCCTTTAATAATAAACATCTTTTTTTTTTGGAATATTGAATGTTTTATTATTTGCAAATTTGATATTACAGTAACGAGCACTTTGCAATATGAAAATAAATATGTCACTTTTTCAAAAATTTAATTCCCAGCAAATAATTTTCAAATTATTTTCAGTTAATTAAATTAACGAGCACTTTGCAATATGAAAATAAAATTCAATTAAACCGTTTCAATATAAAAGATTGAGGTTTTATATGCCATCAACGGCTAAATTTATGAATTTATTAAAATTTTGGCTCAACACAAAAAGTCAACAATTACATTAATGAAAATTTGGACAAAAAAGTTTCCAATAAGAATATAAAATTTAAATTGATTCAATATTTATTTATTTTAACCAAAATGAATGATATTATTATTAAGAATGAAAGAATATTATTTTATTTATTTTCACACATTTCTTAGGCATCATCTTATTTGAAAATTAAATAGAATTCTGAAACTAGATATCCCAATAAGAAAAGATCCAATTCAATTCAAAAAAAAGTCCTGGATTTTTTTATTCAAAATTGTTAGTTTTTCTGACTAAACAATATTAGCAAAGTATTTAAAAACGCAGATTCCTATAAAAAATTTAAATTCGCATTTGTTAAATATGATCGAATTTTGAAACTTGATATCCCAATAAGAAAAGATCCAATTCAATTCATTTTGACTGAATCGCAGTGAAAAAAGACCTGGATTTTTATTCAAAATTTTTAGACTTTCTAATTAAACAATATTCGCAAAGTATTTAAAAACGCAGATTACAAGAAAAAAATTTAAATTAAATTAAAATTTTTTATATATGATAATCTTTTCTGATCGAAGGACCAAATTGTCCATTTTTTATTCTTAGCAGTACTTTGTATGAAACATTTACAAAATTGAAATGTGTGTGTATTTTATTATTTTGAAATTCTTAGCAATATTAGAAATCAGATTGTGCTGATCTAAATCAGCCCATTTCGGCTTGGAAACATGTGAGGTAGATAATTGGGCGCCATTTTGCGAACAATTCGGAACAAATATTGTTCATAATAATTTAAAATTCTTATATATAATTCAAAATTGTTAATATTTCTTATTAAACAATATTCGCATAGTATTTGAAAATAGTGATTAAAACGTAGGCTCCTAAAAAGAAAATTTAAATTCAAATTTTTTTATATATGATAATCTTTTCTGATCGAAGGACCACATTGTCTATTTTTCATTCTTAACAGTACTTTGTATGAAATATTTAAAACTTTTAAATATTTTGAAATTATATTTTTGGAATTATTTAGTAGTATTAGAAATCAGATTGAGCTGATCTTAATTTCGCTCAATCCATTTCGGCTTGGAAATATGTGAGGTAGATAAATGGGCGCCATTTTTCGAACAATACGGAAAAAGCTATTTCCAAAATACTGGCTGAAAATAATTTCCAGACTTATGTAGTATTGGAAAATTGAGCAACTGGTTAAAAAAACCCAAACCCAGAGTCATCCCTCTGGAGGTAAATAGACTTGGACGCCATTTTACAGGACGTAGCAAAAAAACACTATTTTTATCACAAAATTGACCATAAATTCCAACATCTTGGTTCCAGTCATGGACAACTGGAGTAGTATTGCTAATTAGTTAGTCAGACAAAAAAAAATAGAAATTCACAGCTGGGTCATATTATGTCGTGGGAGGCAGATAGTTGGGCGCCAAATTGGTGACTTTGTAAAAAAATGTGTTTAGTTGCAAGAATAGGCCATATATTTTGATTTGTTGGTTCCAAACATGTTCCAGTTGAGAAGTATTGGAAAATAGAATCCCAGCCAAAAAAGTAGCAATTTATAGTTTTCCAATAACTCATCTTGTGAGGCAGATAATTGGGCGCCATATTGGGCGGGTGTTTGCAGAAAAAATATTTTTTAATACAAAATATAGGCTACAACTTTTAATTTATTGGTTTTTAGTCATTCGTAAGTATCAGAAAATAGGGTCCCAGACAAGAAATCATTAATTCACAATTTGTCAAAATTATGTCTAATTGGGCGCCATTTTGAAAAAAAAAGTTATAATAAAGGATCTCCGTTAATAAAAAAGAAATTCACGGTTTGTAGGGCAGATGATTGGGCGCCATTTTGGGGCTTCTCTACAAAATTCTATTCACTCGCATGTATGGAATATTCTCAAATTGAGGATCTCAAACAAAAAAAAAAACTTATATTCGCAGTTCTTCAATTTGGAAAATAGGATCTCTGACAAGGAAAAAAATGCACAGTTAATCTTTATCATGTCTTAGGAGGCAGATAATTGGGCGCCATTTGCTGAAATATGATTTAATTTTTTATTTACAAAATAGTGGCTACAAATTTCGATATGTTGCTTCTAGACATACCAATCAATTGGGTAGTTTTGAAAACTATAAATCAAGAAAAGAAAATAAAAATTAAGAGTTTGCCAATATTATGTATAATTGGGCGCCATTTTGGGGTTTTCCAATATTTTGTAGAAAAAATATTACTTTTTTATAAAATATTGGCTTAAAATTTTGATATGTCGGTTCCAGCAATGCTCAAATTAAGGAGTTTCAGAAAATAAGATCCCAAATAAAAACTCGAATTTATAGTTTGACCATATCATATCCTGGGAGTTTAATTAATTGGGCGCCATTTTCTCCATCTGGTAAATGAAGTCCCCTAGTGTCTATTTCTGAGAGGGAGGAGTATTAAATATCCCCTCATATGTTTCATTGATAGCCCAATGTCAATGAAAATAAATAAAAATGGAAAATAAATAATAACCCCAATATTCTTTACCTCAAAACCAGTTCTTTTAATTTGAAAATCAAAATTTCTTTTTTTTTAATTACAACAAACAATTACATTAAGGGTATAATTTCCCTTTTTTTAACACCCACAATCATAAAAAATATTTTCTTAATTTTTATTATTTTCTTTTCCATTTCCATAAAAAAAATCAAGAATTTGTTTTTTTTCGAATTTTTATTTCTTTGGCATATTTTAAATCACGCTGCATAATTTTTGATTCGTGTGCGTGTGGATGGTAATATGTGGTGGAACAACAATTGACTTTTTTTCTCCACTGGTTGTAAGAAAAAAAATCTAAACAATTGTTGTTGTTATTTTTATGTCGCCAACAACAACAAAAAATGTTTATAATTAACCCCAGCCCGAAGAGGCTCAAGAGACACAAGACGACAAGACTGGTGCGGTGGCTTGACGTTATGAATTTTAATTACAGGAAGTGATTTCCACCAAGTCAGAACCAAAGTGTAATGGCCAGCCAGTCAGAACACAACTGACAACAACGGCCAGTACAGGTAAATGACCATAAAAAATGGTCATAGATAGAATATGGATGGCCTAAAGGAAAATTATAACTGTTCGGAATAGATTTAAATTAAAATATGGTTACACATAAAACCACAGAGATAGCTAGCCAGTCAGTTACCATATTTTCATTCATTCATAATTTCTTACTGTGTTGTCGTGTTATTTTTCTTGTTTTGGTACATTTTATGCGGGTTCATCGAGAAGTTAATGAACCCCATCTCACCAGCACCACCATCATGATCATTATTTTAATTATAACACATAAGAAAAAAAGGTCATTGTCATGCTAATAATTTTGTTAATTTTTTGTTTTCTCTTCCTCTATTTTTCTTTCTTTCCGTATGTTCCGCTTCATCACCCACCTTTGCAGGTCAACGTATTACCACCATACACTTGGATGGTGTACAGTACTTTATTAGCCGCATGAATCCCTACTCGCCCGAATTAAATTATTTCCTCGCCTATCAATATTGTCGTTCATTGGGTCTGCAGTTGGCCTCGTTCGAAACGAAAGAGAAGGCCGAATCGATGACAACATATTTGAAAAATGCCGGCTATGGTAATTATGATTTCTGGACATCGGGTAATCGTTTGGGCACGGGCATGTTCCTTTGGATGAGTACCGGTTTACCGTTTAATGCCACATTCGATTTCTTCGAAAATACCATTGATTCGATACAGGCTGGCCTCTTGGATCCTGTCGATCATAATAGCAATACATCGCCACAGCGGACAGCTAGAGACAGGTAAGTGAAAGCAATGGGATGAATTAGGCATTAAGAAATTATAATAACAATTATTGAGAAAAAAATAAAAATAATTCACAGGCAAAACAATTGGGCGCCATTTTAGAGACTTTTGCAGAAAACTATATTTTTTAAATAAGATACATGCACAGACATGCCCAAAATTGAAAAATATTGGGAAATCGAATTGCCGTTTAAAAACTAGAAATTTCCAATTTGCCAATATCGGGTCCAGGGAGGATCTGGTCTTAAAAAAATTTTTAATGACTAATTTTGAAATTGGGCGCCATTTTGGGATGTGGTCTGAAAAAAATTTTAATGGCTAATTTTGACTTGTTGGTCCTAGGCATGTCAAAATTAGAGAGTTTTGGAAAATAGGATCTCAAACAAGCTAATAAAAATTCCGAACTATGACATGCATCGGAAGCTAGCTAGTCGAGCGCCATTTTGTTTACAAATTTCCATTTTTTGATTACAGACATCATTAAATTGAGGATTCGTGGAAGATCCCTGATAAGAATTCTGAAATTCACAGTTTGTTCATAACCGATCTTGGTGGCAATTAATTGGGCGCCACTTGTAAAATTGGGCCACAAATTTTGATTTATTATTCAAGACGTGTTAAACGTGAGGAGTATTGGAAAATATTATGTCAAACGAAGAAATAGGAAAATATGGAGATTGTCGTCATTTTGGAGACTTTGCAATTTTTTTCCTATTATGCCATGGTAGGCTGGTAGTAGTTGGGCGCCATTTGTAAGCTTTGGTTACAAATTTCAATTTCTTTACTCAAGACATGGTCAATTTGAGGAGTATTTGAAAATAGTATCTCAGACAAGTAAATAGAAATTCCCATTTTTTTCATATCGTGGCTTGGTAGGCAGATAGTTGGGCGCCATTTTGGGACCTTGCAATTTTTTTATTGGAGGAGTAAAATAAACTACGAATCCAGACAAAAAATAGAAATTCCCATTTAATCCTTATCATGACTTGGTAGTCCGATATTTGGGCGCCATTTTTAAATCCTGACCACAAATTTGGGTTTCTTTCCTAAAGACATGATCAAATTGAGAAGTCTTGAACACCAGGATCGTAGACAAGAAAATAGAAATTAGTAGTTTTGTCAGATCATAACTTGAGAGGCAGTTTGATGGGCCCCATTTTGGGAGATTTTCAGAAAAAAACTAATTTTCCATTTTCCAAACTTTTTGGCCACAATTGTATAGACATGCTCATATTGAGGTGTTTTGGAAATTAGGATCCCAAATAAAAAAACAAGAGGTTCCCATTTTGTCCCTATCTTGACATTGTAGGCAGTATGTTGGGCGCCATTTTGAGGACTTGTCTATACATTTCAAGACATGAAATTAGGGAGTACTGCCCTATAAGATTTCAGAAAAAAACAAATTTGAAATTCACATTTCTTGGAAGGCAAATAGTTGGGCGCCATTTCCGCGGCTTTGCAGAACATTTTTTTATAATTTCAAAATATTGACTAAAACT